AAAACCCTAATAAAAAGTAGGAATCTGATTCCTAAATATCTGTCCCCAAGCCCTCTGCTGCTGCGCCGCAACCCTAGAATCATACTGTCCATTCGGTCTCACAATCCTACAACTCAAATCCGCAAGTTTATCCCACACACCCTGTGGGATACTATTATAAAACTTTACTTGCGAAGGGGCGTAGTTATTCTTTGCTACTTGTCCCATAAACGTGGATCGCAGTTGTGCACCGGTAAGTTTTGCCTTGCGTTTTGTGAGGGCTGCGGGGATGGGGGTTTCGGTTTCTTCTTTCTTGGGTGTTTCTGGAGACTTCGATGGGTTTACGTTTGCGGGTTTCCCGCGGGCGAAGTCTAGATCTAGAATGACGGCTGTGTGGCCCGGAAGCTTAAGCTCGTCTTCGGAGGGGAATGTAGGTGTTTGACCGGCTTTTAGTTGTCCGTATGCCTGTTGTACGTGTTTTGCTACTTCGGGGTAAAATGGTTGACCGTCGCTACCGCCAGCGCGGGATTCGAGTTTGAGAAGTTGGTCGTAGATTGAAGTTGGTAGGGAAGATAGGAATTCGAGTTGCGTGTTTGGTTGGCGCATTTGTTTGGCTTCACTGAGGATTTTGGATTTGAGTTCGGCGCCTGTCGTGGCTTTTGCGCGGCGAAAGAGGGGGGATGGAGCGGCTAGGGTAGTGGCTGAGAGGAGGGTTAGGAGGGTGATGAGGGGAGTTGTGAAGCGCATTTTGATGGATGCAGTATATAGGTTTTATGTAGTGACGGGGCTATAGACGATAAAGTTGGTCCGGGCTCAGCTAATTGAAATAAATTGAATTGAAATTTAAAGAAGAATGAACTGAGAAAGTAACTTATAGGAGGCCGGCCTCGAGTAGAATTGCGAATGGAATTATAAATTTAAAGGTATACTGAAATATACTACAACCAGGCCAGCCAGAAGGAAGATGATGCTTGAGAAAAGAGTGGAAACCGAGGTTGTACAGCAGGTTTCCTATACTTTAAATAATCAGAATATCGCCTCTCTTAATTAAGTTATTTTGAAATTCGTTATATTCGCTATATTCAAGGTTGTATCTAGAAACTCGTCTCCTGGGTTTCGACCTCCTGCACCCCCCAGTGGCGCCAACACTCAGGTTAGCCGCATGGGCATCAGATTGAGAAATATCCTGCAGCGTTTTACAATGAACCAGGCGCCTTCAGGAAATGGCCTTACCGAAGAAGGAAGGAGCTTGGGTCAAGCGAGTCCACGCTAACCTCATTTTGCATATTAAGGACCGGGTCTGGAAAGCGAGACTGCATTGTGATATCTTAGAGTGAAGCTGTGGCTTTGAAGTTTAAGGGACTGTTATTTTTGTCCAATGGACGGATTCATATTATGCAAATTTACCATGGAGCGAGCTCTTGATATCAATTGCGGGGGGGATCGGTATGCTTTTCAGGTATCAACACCCGTTTTTGCGTTGGTCATGTTGTATTTCCCAAAATGTCCTAAAGCGGTAAGTTTCAACGTTTCTTTTTGTTCTTTAGGCCGATTGGCCCGAATTTCTATCTGATGGATCTATTAATTCAGTCGGCTTGAGGCTAAAAACAGTGGTCGTTCTTTATACGCAAGGTATCGTCGGAAGAAGATAAAATAACAAAATGCATTTGATTCCCAACGAAATTGCCACTGACAATCAGCTGTTATAAAATACCGTTGTGCGTTGGTTGGGGCTGCCTTCTTTGCGCTGTGGGGCCGCCGAAGCTGCCCTTTTTGGCTGTGGAGAAATGCCGAAGCGCACATGACGCCAGCCAAACATGTGAAAGCCAAACCACCTTCATAAAACTCCGTCCTCGACACTAACAGGCCTAAAAGACAACTAATACCATCGTCTACTTATCTATCGCGTTTCATTGCTGACTTTTCTTTCGCCATGATACCCGTTCCTGTCGGCGCATTCGTTTGAATTAACATCACATACCGTATTATTCCGTTAACCGTTTGTCATCTCCGAATTTCGAAAACTAGTGAGCGATGGGAGTGCAATCCAAACTGCTGCCCGCCGGCAGCCAGGCGGCTCTGTTAAACGTTCTTAGTTCGTCTTTAACGTTCTATTTGACACATAAAACAAAAATCTCTCGCGGGTTATATCTATTCACCTTCCTCGCCCTCGTATTCCGAGTCCGCGCCGCCATTTCCGACCAAAAGCCTGCTGTAAAGCCCACACGTTCGACATCTGATAGTTCAAAGCGACAGAAGGTTGAACTAAATAGAGATTTCTTCCGAAGTCTCTTTAGGTTGTTGAAGATTGTTATCCCGGGATGGAAGAGCAAGGAAGCGAGGTTGCTGGTTAGCCACTCGGTATTCTTGGTATTGAGAACACTGATTAGTTTGTATGTTGCCGAACTTGATGGACGACTTGTATCGAATCTCGTTCGGGGTAAAGGGAAGGACTTTGTGCTTGGGATAATATGGTGGATGGTAGTTGCCATCCCGGCGACATTCACAAACTCCATGGTAAGGGTTTTTCTATATAAAATGGGATTTATCAGGGCTAATGTATATCATAGCTGTCATACCATCAATGCAAACTTGCTCTCCAATACCGAACTCGCCTCACAAATCACATCCACAACCAATATCTATCTAATATGATCTTCTACTCCGTCGGAAACCTTGACGACAGGATCAAAAACCCAGACCAGTTGATTGTCGAGGACGTTCGTAAATTCTCCAATTCGTTGGCAGAACTCTACTCCAACCTCGCCAAGCCAGTATTGGATATGGTTATCTACAACTACCAACTTTCGCGGAATGTTGGTGGTGAAGGTCTATTCCTCATGGCATTGCTAGTACAGATTTCTGCAAACGTTATGCGTGCTCTTACGCCTCCGTTCGGCAAATATGTCGCCGATGAGGCCAAGTTGGAGGGAGAGTTTAGACATCAACACTCTAGACTCATTGATAATGCCGAAGAAGTTGCGTTATACTATGGCCATGAGAACGAGAAGAAGACGCTCGACAAAGGATATTTCAGGTTGATTAAGTATGTGAACCATATCCTTAGGCAGAGACTGTACCATGGAATCATGGAAGACTATGTGATCAAGTACTTCTGGGGAGCTCTTGGTTTGGTGCTTTGCAGTGTACCAGTATTCTTCAAGATTCCTGGTGCAAAGGGTGGAAGCTTGGGAGACAGAACAGAGAGTGAGTATTTCTTGCCATTTCTGACGAAAGGAGATTATAAACTAACGCATTTACTAAGGCTTCGTAACCAACCGTCGTCTCCTGCTCTCGTCTTCCGACGCTTTTGGTCGTGTCATGTTCTCTTACAAGGAAATCACCGAGCTGGCTGGTTATACCTCCCGTGTATCCACGCTTTTGAACGTTATGGAAGATATCACAAATGGTCATTTCGAAAAAAACCTTGTTTCCTCAGCTTCAACCGAAGAGAACGCCGTCGTACTCCGCGGAAGAGGCAAGGTCGTCGAAGACAGCTATATTCAATTTACAGATGTTCCAATCGTCAGTCCCAACGGTGACGTCCTAGTCAGAAAGCTTTCGTTTGAGGTTAAGAGAGGAGGTCATCTGTTGATTGTTGGACCAAACGGATGTGGTAAGAGCAGTTTGTTCAGAATTCTTGGTGGATTATGGCCTGTATACGGTGGTGAAGTTCGAAAGCCTCCCAGCGAAGAGATTTTCTATATCCCACAGAGACCGTACTTGAGCCGTGGATCATTGAGACAGCAGGTCATTTATCCTGATGGACTAAAGGACATGATTGAAAAAGGTGTCACAGATGATGATTTGATGGCACTCTTGAAAATTGTGGAGATTGAATCCGTTGTCGAGAGAGAGGGTGGATGGGATGTGGAGAAGGAATGGAGAGAACAATTGAGCGGTGGTCTACAGCAGAGAATCGCTATGGCTAGATTGTTCTACCATGCTCCTAAATTGTGAGTATACCCACATATTGATACTATAACATAGCCCGTAGAAAAGTAGCTAACATAGTACAATAAATAGCGCCATTTTGGATGAGTGCACAGCTGCACAAACCCTCGACATCGAACGAATCATGTACGAAACCGCCAAGCAGCTAGATATCACCCTCATCACCGTCAGCCACAGAAAGAGTTTATGGAAATATCACGAGAACATATTGCAATTCGACGGCCAAGGTGGATTTGTATTTACAAAGCTAGACGCAGAAAGACGATTGAAACTGGAAGACGAGAAGGAAGATCTTGAGCTACAGTTACGAGCTGTACCGGAATTGAGAAGACGGTTGGAGGAGCTAAGGGAGAGTTATCAAACTGAGGCTTGATTGGTTGGAAGGGGAAGGAGTGTAAGATACAGGTAAATCGTTCATAGACTGGCGGGCTGTATTAGAGTGTAATTGTGCATCGGGCGAAGGTTTCATGAGCAATCTTCTTAGTTATACTTCCTTGTATGTACTTATTTAATATTTTTGGTCGACGTGGCATCGAAGCTAGCACACATCGAATAGGCTCAGCACTAGACTTAGCAAATAACAGTAGGAGCTAGCTAGAGCATAGTCTGGTGGAGCTCCTAGACTAGCTAGAGCAACCCCGCGCGAAGGAGATAAGCTGGTTACACAATTGTACAAATGGTCCAATCTCACGGTCACACAAATAAACGATGATGTCGACAACGCACAAGACTATGAAATCCAACAATGCAACCTTGAGAGTTCGAGTATGTTCCTATCGAGTGCAATATAATGCCGGATGCATAATTCTCTTAACTCACAGCCATGCACCCGTCTAATCTTGCATTATAAATTCAACTTCTGCCGAAACCCGACGTTTTATGTGAAATAAACGAGCTCAAATTTCCGAAGGGTGGTATCCTTGCCACCACACTAACCCAACTCAAAATAGCCAAAAGGAAAAACTTTCTCCCACACACAATTTTATAACCTTCCAAAACATCACCAGCTTCAAAATTGAAAAAAGATGTCATAGCATTGTTATAAAAGCACAAAAAGAATAATGTAATGCGTCCGCCGGGAATCGAACCCGGGGCTGATCGAAACTGTAACTGGATGACCAGTCATGGCAACGATCAATTTTACCACTAAACCACAAACGCTTGTATCTTGATTTGATGGAAGATGAGATTTGGATGGCTAATATAAATGTTTAAGGTGCTCAGCGAGAGTATACGGACGACTGATTGAAGCCGACGAGGCTTTAGGGATTGAGGATTCTGCGATCTGTTGATGGTAACGACTAAGTGAAGGGGTTTCGTAACATGAATGGATATCAATCTTGTACCAGCTTTCCCTAACCACACCCCCAACTCCCCATGGAAGACCTTATGACGGGCTGATATTTAGTATGAGAGGCCCAAGTTACGGGCTTTTGTGCAAGAAACGCGGGAAAACAGAAAAAACGATAACGAATGACGGATGGAAAAGAGTGCTCGCAACAAAGGCTCGGTTCCAGGTAAAAATAAAAGTTATAACATCAACGCGCTACAAGAGTATACCTCCATGCACATACCGGTCGCTCGAGAAGGTGAGCGCCTCAACTTGCTCCAACTAACTTTACAGCACTTTCCCAAATCCTCTCCCACATGTATGACCCATAAACGCCCAACTAACCCCAAACAATCGGGTACATAAATCCTTGCTGCTCACCAAAATCTAACCTTACCAAAAAGTCCGACACCGCCGGGACTTTGTGTGTACGGCTCCGCCTGCATCTCCCCCGAATCTTCTTTGCTTGGAATCTTCTTAGCGATAAGAGGGCTAGATGGTAAAGGATGGTCCATTATTTTGGCGGCATCATTGGGGTGTGCACTTTTTGATATTTCTGTTGAAGGAAGGCATGCGAGTGTTCGTGTGTTAGCGATAGCAGAAGGTGTCTGTGAAACATCGAAGAAAGTCTGAGGTTGTTCCAATGCCGTGGTGGCGGTGGTGGTGGTGGTTGGCGCGGGTTGTTGCCGGGGCGAGGCCTCTTCGACTTTCGGTGGTGAAGACATGGTTTTCGCTTCCTCTTCAGCCTTTTGCTTTTGCTCGATAATGAGGGGTTCAAAAAGGTATTTTCCTATACGAGTTGAACAAAGTAAAGACATTAGCTTAACATCCGAATACATTAATTAACGTCCCAGTTAACTCATGCACCGTTTGCCGCGGCGAGCTCGAGTTGGGACGAAACAAGGACGAAAACGGACGGGACGATAATAACTGACCTCCTGCAATGCCCACGCCTGCAGCAACTAACAGACCAACTTTGCTTCTCGACATGCTGAAATTGCGGGGGAAATGCCTCTAGATTTATAATTCTTCAAAAAGTGGGGGATTTCGTGGGGTTTTTGTGATGTCGATATTGCGGAATGGTGATCGATGGCCGCTTCTTCTATTTGGGGATTACCGATACCAATGATATCGATATGCAGGCAGGTAGATGACTTGAGATCAAAACAGGGTTTTGACTCTTTGTTTTGTGGGGGGCTTTGGCCAGGCAAAGGCGGACTTAAGCCCGGGGTGGTTTAGTTCGGAAACTAGATAGCGATAGATGCAGCGATAAGATCTTAAGCTTAAGAGGCGAGAAACGAAAAGCTAAATATCTAAGGGACCAAGAAGGTTTCCGACCGGCGATTGGATAAGGCTAGGTCCGAGTTCGCGATATAGTATATTTTTAAAAATGCAAGTGCAGAAGTTGGGAGGAAAAGGAAAAAAGGAAGTCGATTTTTGGGGATCCTTCGAACAGCCTCTTGCTTCCTTTTTATATATCGTGCTTATCTTGTGCCTGCAACGCTGCAGTGCGCACCCAAAATGGCACCCTGGGACGGGTGGATTATGATATATCCTTTCCCTTCCCTTTTTTCCCAGAGCAAATGATGGCAATATTGTCGAAAATTGCCAAAGATCCCCACTTCTGTGCTTTCAGCTTCAAGGTCTACTCGCCTATCAGTCGAGCCACGCACGTCCTTACATATATCAGATGGCAAAAAATGTATAAATGACTGTCTTTCTCTTGGCTGTATCGAAAAGTCAAGCGCATGGGATAAATACAAAAAATAGAAAGAGGCTTGCTTTAGACGGGTTGAAGAAAAAAGGCGCGGATTAACTTGATCTTCAAGGGTCACGATGGTAGTCGTGGGGAGGCCAGAAGCTGGGGATTTGGTGCCCTCTTTCCTTTTCGTGTCGTCCGGAACGGAGGAGCTAGCTAGCTACTGCAGCGGTCGGCCGGGAAGACTGGCAGTGGGGAACGGTAAATGAGCCTAATGCCTGTTCCCGTCTCCGCGAAAGCTGGATGCTGGAATGACTTTTGGGATGGTTTCGGAATCCCAGCTTGTTCAAGGCTCTTGCGCCGAAACCTCAATAACCCGAAAAGGAACAGAAGTTATAATCGAAGATTTAGGAAAAGCAGAATACGAGAAGACCAGGGGCTAGGTTAGCTTGACTGTTATCGCAGGGCTAGCTTTTATATATAATTCCTCGGCCTCGCCTGCTCAGGCAATATGTACCTGCCTCAGCTAGCTCCACACGATAGTCGAAGCGATAAGACTAATTCGTGATCCTACCCCATTTGATCTGGTTCTACGCATTTCTATGCACTGACTTCTCTTGTACTACGGAAAGGAACGAGATAAAAAGTGGAGCCTTAGGCATCGGTCGCCTCAAGCTGCAGTAGTCTAGAGCGACAAGGCGTACATACGCCTGCAATGGGATGAGAATGGTGTGCCACGATGCATCTATGGGGTGTGCCTTCGACGGCCAAGAAAGTTACTCTGCCGCTGTGGGCTTCAGATAAGAGACATTTTGAAATGAAGAATAAAGAGATTGCCAGACTAAGAAAACACCGGTTCTCTTTTAAAAATTCTTGTGCAATGCAAGGGCTCAGGATTTTGAAGTTGATCCGACCCACATAGACGTTTATGCATCCTGCAGACTTGTGAGACGTGATCACAAAAAGCCTGATAGCATATACCCAGGCTGATTCATAACCCTTGCGGACGAAAATGAAGAGACCGGAGAGAAATTCAAAAGAGAAAGAGGTATGCAGAAGCGGGAAAGCGGGAAGAGGAGCTGTCGAGAGAAACGAGCTGTATTTCGGAAAGCAATGGAATGTGATATGCCCATGTAACACGAGCCTGAAAATATATCATGTAGGTGCATATGAGGCTGTCAAAACAAAGATGGTACGCGACCAACAATACGACACCGGACCGCAAAATGTCGCACAAGCCGGGTGTAAAGCCAAGGGCGAGGCCAATGTGGGGGCGTACGGAGCTTGGACAGGGATGCTGTCTTGGACAGTGCATCCCGGCTCTCCTTGACACATCAAGATTAATGGACTTCAGCTAAGCTATGGGATGCATATGAGATCATTAGCAAAACTCGACAATATCTGAGAATCAAGTTTCCCATTCCACCTAGGCATCTCAAATCTTGCGGAAATATATAGCCTCGAGTCCAGGCGCTCGGAAGTATACTTAAAGTGCTATATTATACAATTTTGGCTACGTTGTATTTAGCAAAAAACAATCGATCTGAGCATATGTATCTACAACGGTTGCATTCCGCCTTGGCCTCGAGGCTACCTTAATTTGAATTATAATTATACTTTGGTATACGTGTATACACATAACTAGAAGAAGAAATTATATATCTAAATTGTAAGAGTTATAAAATCTACAAAGTTTTTGGGCTGCCAAAATATAGCCTTCACACAGCTTCCTTTTCTTGGCCGCATTCTCCATTTCATGGATAGTCAAGTCTGCACCGTCTTTGGCGATTTCGGTTGTATTCTCATGTTCGACAAAAGCTACTCCTTTTTCAGCATGGCTAACGCCTCCAAAAGAGTATCCATATCTTCGAGTGCCATTCCCTTGGTTTCTGGGATAAAGAGCCAGACAAACCCTGCAAGGAGGACATTAATCCCTGCAAACATATACATGGATTTGAACCCAATCTTGTTTAAAATCAATGGGAAAATCTGGTTGACGATAGCATTGCTGAAATTCTGCACTCGAGCAGACATGGTAACAGCTTGGGCACGGACATTCATCGAAAAGATTTCAGAAGTCCAAATCTTAAAGTTCTCAAAAGGCAATATCAAACTTACCAAACAGCAGCCCCCCCCAAGAAGGCTTGTAGAAAAACGCGAACAAGAACATGAGGAAAACAATGCTGCTGGCAACGCCGGTGGTTTTAGCCCCACCTTCCTCTGTGGGTGTGCCAATATAGACGCTAGCCGAGCAGATCATGCATACGGCCATACCGATAGCACCAACAAGTAGAAGAAACCTTCGACCGTATTTATCTACTGTCCATCTTACATTAAGTGTGAAAATGATACCAAAAGTCCCATTGAAAGCATTGAATAAGCTGGATAGCCGAACTACCCCTGAACACCTGCCCGTACACAATAGTGGAGTAGCTGTTAAGAGATCCCTGTCTAGTAATCTGCTGACCCAAGTTCATGATAAAAGCGAGAACTAAAAGTTAAAGTAATCATTAGCATTACTGATCAGACTAGACTGCAAAGTATTTTTTGTCTGTGGAAAACTTACTGAGACGCTTGCGAATAGAGGGGTCTTTCCACAGTGGCAAATATCTTCCATCAAGAACATGTTTCTCATATTAAATGGCTTGCTTAATCTGTTGGATTTCGGCTTCGACCTCTTCTTCGGTTTCTCTAACTGTTCTCAATACCTCCCGCGCGGCTTCCTCATTGCCCTTCTGGATATACCAGCGGGGCGTTTCAGGGCAAAAGAAGATCAAAATACAGATTATTGCCGGGAAGACGACTTGAAAGATAACAACCATCCTCCAATCCCAGCTTCCTAATTTTGTAAAATTCTTAGTGCAGGCATATATAGTTGACCCCATACGCCAGAAAGCTGCCAACGCTGAAGAACATCTGCAAGAAGCTCATGATTTTACCTCGAACATCTGGTGGCGCGAGTTCACCGATGTACACAGGCCCCGCAGGTAGTGCAAGCCCTTGTCCCATACCCACAAGACATCGTCCCGCAAGCAAGGCCCCGATGCCATGGCCGGCAGGTGCAAATTCCTGGATAAATGTACTCCAAAGAACCACGAATGCACCAAGCCACATAGCGACTCAACGGCCGAA